TCCACATGCAGATTCTGCGATAAATATCCAGAAATAGTTGACCATCTTCTGTCACAGTGCTAGTACCCACTGAATATAAAACTCGGCATGATAGAGTGGACCAATATCTACACTTCAAAATATGAAACTTACGGGAAGAAACTAGAAGAAACTGGCATGTACATCATTCTGAGCTTGCGACACAGATAGGACCTGAAATAATATTATGGGACTTCCGATGCACACAGACAGAACAAACAAAGCTAATCGACCAGACACTGTGATCAGAGACCGCAAAAACAATGTGCCTTCTTACTGACATGGCAGTCCCTGCAGACTGTAATGCATCTTTGAAGATAAATTGCAAAAATGTGGTATTTAAACATAACCGCTATTCCGAAGGAATAAAAAAAATATTGATATATCCATTAAGAAATTCATTACTATCCGAGATACAAAAGATTGTGTTCATTGTGCTCACATCCTCAGAAAAACAAAACACTCAGTCTAATAGGCTCAATAACCTTCCTTTACAAATGATTGTATCAAACATTAAATCAGTAAATACTACTACTAATAATAATAATAATAACAATAAGAAAAAGAAGAAGAAGAAGAAGAAGAAGAAGAAGAATTCTACTATTTGCCGCCCAATACCTCAATACTAAGTCTACCTCCAAATGGATTCTGACAAGTGCATGTTAAGGTCGTGGGCAAAGAAATGTCACCTACATCATTAATGCCTGTAGAATGCGTGCACAAAAGAATACAAATGCCATCATGTTGAATTGCACTTTCATCTGCATTGCTGCCTATATAAGAAGCATGAATTTGAAGTTGACTAGGAATGATGCCGACAGAAGCCAAAGAAGGTGAATGAGAAATTTCAAGTCAAGATCTTGTGGGATATCAACATCCAAACAAACCACATCCTTGAAGCCATCAAAGCAGACATCAACACCGTTGAGAAAGAAACAAGAAAATGCCTCCTCGTCAACGTGGCTGTTTCTGGTGATCATAATATCAAAATAAAAAAAAAATTACAAGCTCAAACAATACGCTGACATCTGGGTTAAAGTTGCTAAAATATTAGGACTTTCAAACTTTTATTGCCCGAGTTATTGCTGGTGCGTTATGTTTATTCCACTGAAGTTAAAGTCATACATCAGGAAAATCGGAATACAGTCCGGCATCCTATCGCTTCAGAAGACTGTGTCGTTTGTCACTGCAAATGTTCTGCGAAAGGTGCTCTCTATCTGAGTTCGTACAACTTGATGCAAAACACTTAAAGCAAGATCTAAGGTCCAAAACGAAAATCATGCGAAAGAAAATAATAATAATAAGAAGAAGAAGAAGAAGAAAATGAAAAAAAGAAACTTTCAAGAAAGGTAGAATTACAGAAACACCCTTAATAGATTTAGATTTTGTCACAAAGATTAGGGAACTGGAGCATGGTGAAGCTTATATGTACCTAGGAATTAGCGAAGGAGATGGCATACAACACCCCCAAATGAAGGAAAAAATAAGAAAAGAATACTACAGGCGTGTACGTCTGGTACTAAATACTGAGCTGAACTCAAAAAACAGGATATCAGCCATAAACACATTTCTGTCCCTGTGGTGCAATACAGCTTTAATGTCCTTAACTGGACCATAGCTGAAATTAAGCGACTGGATGCCAAAACGAGAAAGCTACTCACTTGCTATCGCATGCATCATCCCAAAGCTGATGTCAACCGTCTGTATGTGCCCAGATCCGAAGGAGGCAGAGGATTAGTACAACTAGAACTGTCCTACAAAACTACAACAATTGGCCTCCAAAAATATTTGGAAACTACAGAAGACTGGATGATGGTGTGCGTCAAGGAACATGAAAGTAGTAAGCGTCTCTACTCCGTAATGAAGGAAGCCAAAAAATTCAAAATGGAGTTCCAAATGGGCGTAGAGATGCAACTACAGCACAATACACCGGCTGAAACTGCAAAATACCTAAAAAAGATAGCTAAGACGAATGCAACAGACCAGTTACAGAAGCGATGGCAAGATAAACCGCTTCATGGCCAATACTCTGCCCGTACCAAACAAGCTGACGTAGACAAAACCCGTACCCATCAGTGGCTACGTAGTGCAGGGTTGAAAGCGGAAACTGAAGGTTTTATCCTTGCTGCGCAGGACCAATGCTTGCTAACTAGGAATTATCAAGCACATATACTAAAATATTGTGTCAGTCCAAAATGCAGATTCTGTGATAAATATCCAGAAACGATTGATCATCTTGTAGCAGGTTGTACGGTGTTGGCACCCACTGAATATAAAACCCGACATGACAGAGTGGGCCAATATCTGCACTGGAAAATCTGCAACTTCTACGGGAAGAAAACTGAAAGAAACTGGTATGAACACCACCCAGACCCGGTTACGGAGATAGGACCTGTTACAATTCTATGGGACTACACAATACACACTGACAGAACAATCAAGGCCAACCGCCCAGATATTGTTATTAAAGACCATAAACAAAAAAGATTCCTCCTTATTGATATGGCAGTCCCTGCCGACTGCAATGTATCTTTAAAGATATTCAAAAAGTTGTCAAAGTACAAGGACCTTGAAATAGAAATCGCGAAAATGTGGCATATGGGAACATCAACAATCCCTGTTGTAGTTGGAGCCCTAGGACTGGTTGGAAAAGATTCCAGTAGACTAATTGAAGGGATACCTGGAAGTCCATGCCTCAAGGAGATACAGAAAATTGTTCTAACAAGTACAGCCCACACCTTACGAAGGGCTTTATCTATGTAATCTTTTTCTTTTTTTTTTTTTTTTTGTCAGTGGAAAGTGTCATGACGCCATTTCTAACCTTAGTTCCCTGGGCGGGACCCGGAAAGAAATGTGTAAACGCCAGAAATCAAAGAAAATAAAAATAATAATAATAATAATAATAATAATAATAATGATAATAATAATAAATTGAGTCAGATGAAGAAAGGAGTTCAAAAACAAATCAGCAAAATCCCTGGTGCATCATCTCTCCAGGAAATCCAAAATAGTCTAACAAGCAAAAGCCATATCCTGCGAAGAGCTTTGTTCATTTAATTTTTTTTTATTTTGTTTTGTTAATAACTGTCTATTGTTTAATTAAGTGGAAACAACAAAAGTCATTTCCTTCGCATATACACAATCAGATGACATCATACAATTAAGAAAAATGTTGCTGGTAATGTCAGCTACATATTCAACCAATTGTACCAACAACCATTATCATTCACTACATGAATGAAAATTGCACATAATAATAATAATAATAATAATAATAAGAAGAAGAAGAAGAAGAAGAAGAAGAAGAAGAAGAAGAAGAAGAATGCGTTGTTCAATTGTCAAACTAACCGAACAACTTCACGATCAGAAACTGGAACAAAACCGACAAAAAGCAACACAATTTGCACCAGAAAAACCAAAAGTCGTTTTGTTGTAAAGACATAGATAATAATCTGAACTGGAGTACCGAAAATGGTCCCAAGATCTTTGTAAAAAGATGTGAAGAATTTAAAAAGAATAATAATAATAATAATAATAATAATAATAATAATAATAATAATAATAATAATAAAGGTGGAAGAGGTCTTATTCAATAGAATTGTCAATAATAACTTACATGGAAACAACAAATAATGATAAAATTAGTGAAACAACATTAAAGAAAAAATATTCAATAATAAAAGAAGATAAATTAACAACATTTACATTTAGTAGATTCTGTAGTAAATCAAAACAGAAGCCAAGAACCAACTATTGCAGAAAAGATCTGACTTGAACAGATGAAACAACGCTGGCAAGACAAACCTCTGTCGAACAAATTGTTGATAAAGTTAATACTCATCGATGGTTAAATCTGGATTAAAGTCAAACTGAAGGCTTTATTCTTGCAGCGCAAGATCTTTTCACTAGGAATTTTCAGGCAAATATCAAAAAAAATGCAGGTTCTGTGAAAATACCAAGAAACAATAGACCATCTAATCTCCAGGATGTTCTATACTTTATAAAAATCGTCACGATAGAGTGGGGCAATTTACACTGGACAAAACACTTTGGAAAATGTGAAAGCAAACACTGGTATGAACATCGGCCAGCGCCGATTTACAGAAATAGAAGATGTCACCATTCTATGGGATTATACCATCCACACAGACAGAAAAATTGAAGCAAATAGGCCGGACATTATTGTCAAAAACCAGAAGAAAAAACTGCCTACTAATTGATATGGCTTGTCCAGCGGATTGTAACATAGCAACCAAGGAATTTGAAAAACTATCAAATACAAAGACCTGGAAATTGAAATAGAAAAAATGTGGAAATTGAAAACAAGAATAATACCAGTGGTAATAGGTGCACTTGGAATTATAAAAATGGAACAAAACAACACATTGAAAGAATCCCTGGAAACCCCCAGCTTAAGAGACATACAGAAATTGTCTTATTAAGTACAGCACACACACTAAGGAGAACTTTGTCTATGTAACGCTAGCAACTTCATCGGAGATAAAAAAAAAAAAAAAAAAAAAAAATGAAAATGTGGCCATAACAACACACCACGACCTGCCTTAGGTCTTTCCGCAGACTTAGTGAGTAGTGTGTCCATAGCAAATCGAATGATGATGATGATAATAATAATAATAATACAACTTAAAGAAAATTAAGATATTTTAACGTATTATTTAGGCCAACAGAACTTCTACCAAAGATTTGTCGAACATGAGCCTGACGAGCGAAATTCTTGATTTGGTCAAAAAAATAAGTCAATTGAATTTTAGTTGATTTATTGAATAAAGGGAAAACTGTTCAGATTTCTACACTTTTGATGTGATTGAGAATTTTGCAACACAACACCTGGTGATTTTTATCTCTTGGTGATAAATTAAAGTCAGACTCAAGAGAGATAAAGCCATATACAAGGTGGATATAAATTCAATTGTGACACATATTATTAACAAATACAATGCCACATATGCAACTGAAGAAGGTTAAGATATCGACTGAAACGATGTTGTAACAGAAACATCAGCAGCAGAAAGGCGTTCAAATGTGCTAAAATATTGGAATTTTAATGAATTAAGAATTATCAAGAATTATAGAAAGTTATATATATATATATATATATATGTGTGTGTGTGTATTCAGCACCATCACTTGATAAGACACCAACAGAAGTGTTGAAACAAAATGGCCATTTTTGTAATGATTTTATAACAAAATGGCTATTTTTATAATGATTTTATAACCCATATATATATATATATATATATATATATATATATATATATATAGGTAGATAGATACATATAAGGGTATTCATAAATTTTGTTCTAGTCTGATTCAGGACTACACTCATGTGAGAGAGTATGGAACTCTTTGCAACAATCAACGAGATTAACTCACTAACCATATTTATGCGAAATATTTTTGTGATATATATATATATATATATATATATATATATATATATATATATATATATTATATATATATAATTATTATTAATAGTAGTAATAGTAGTAGTAATACTCGGCTGGAAAAATTCTCCGGATAGCACAACTTGTAACTCTATCAAAACAAATTGGTACCCGAGGAAAAAATTGGAAAAAAAAAGAAAGAACTAGAAACATCTGTACAGGGCGAAATAAATCGCCCAGAGCCTTAAGTTTTTAGAAAAAAAAAACAAATGAGTAATAAGACGAAAGGGTAAAGTGCTCAATATGCGAAGTAGAGCAGGGCTAAATGAAATAAATCCTAAAGAACCAGGAACAACCTACCTAGGTTTCACCTAAACGGACCTTCAGCGTAAGCTGGCTTACCTTGAAGATCTTTTAAGATCTCCTTTTTACCCTGACATCTCCTTTTAACCGGTATATTTACCAAAATGACACAAAAGTATTTTGAATTACGAAAGAGTAAATTTATTCAATAAAATCGCTGTTGGCGTCAACCCCTGCCGCCAAACTACTTCTGAATCTCCTGCAATGCTTCTGGACAGTCTCCTTGTTTAAGTTGGTGAATGCTGACATAATCCTTGCTTTCAGTTCATTTTTGGTGTTACAAGTAGTTTTGGCTAGAAAGGCTAATATCACTGTTACCATTATCATATATGTCTCTTTGTGTCTTACATATTTATTTGTGCACATTAAAAGCTCGTGTTAAAAATTTGATATATAATATAGCTGATAAGCATTTTATGCTTTAATATATTCATAATGATCTATTTATATGCGTCATATGCAAACATATATATATATATATATATATATATATATATATATATATATATATATATATCGATGCGAAGAGAGACAAACAGATAGATAGATAGATAGATAGATAGATAGATTGATAGATATTATAATAATTGTATTCTTGTTGGTAATGTTTTTCATTAATTTCGAGATGTATGCTTTGCAAGTCACATTGTTTCTCTCATATTTTATGTTGAAGAAAATATTCCCCTGTCACTCAATAGCCACTCACCGCCTCCCCATCACGAATGATTCCAGAAACCAGAGACATAATATATTCATTCCGTGAAATAATGTCACCAAATGATGAACCAGGCCAGAGAGAAGCTTGTCTTGATTTAGTGAGCAAGGGTCAGCGTGTATAGTTGTCCATATGCGTGTCTGGCCGATCTTATGGGGGATTGGGTATCCAGCGAGTTGGATTTACCGAACACTGGGGTTAGCGAGATTATGCGCAAGAAACGGCGATAAAATGCGAGATCTCAATGTCCTGTTGATTGTCATGTGACATTATGGTTCCCGCTAGACACGATGATATACAGGGAAAATTTAATCTTCTTCCTACGGTTTAAAATGAGAATATCTGCCAGCGGGGTGGCGAGAGGTTGTTCCATATTGTGCAAATGGACGACGTGTAACTGAACAGGAAATAGAAATAAGGAATTATGAGAGAGTCGTGAACATGTGACAACGACATGATCAAAGCGTAAAATGCGAAAATGAAATAATCTCTGGAGATAAAAGCGACAGTCACGAGTGTAGTATACACACACACACACACACACACACACATACACACATATATATATATATATATATATATATATATATATATATATCAAATATTTGTTATATCAGTAAGACCGTAGGATAATCATGAAACAACACATCAAATATTCATTTTTCAACATAATCTCGTTCCTTGTCGTAATTCTTAATTCAGTAAGGAATGATCATATCCTAGATTGAACATTGCACAATAATTTCAGATAAAAATTGATCTAATAAAAATGTTACAAGGTAAATATTTCTTATTAACATAAATGTTATTTTTAGTCGCTACACGTGATTGAGTTACTATCCCTCTTTTCTTTGGGGGAGGGGGTAAATAGTGAAGTGAATAACAAACAGGCTGGATCGAGAAGCCTTACAAAAGAAAAGTCGTACCCCCGACAGGAATCGAACTTGTATCGCTTTTTCCAGCGGAAAAACCGCTTCCACGACCGAAACATATTAGTTGGCCACAAAAAAAACACCTTGATAGTAAAAGGTTTGAATTGCCTATTTAACGAATGTACATCTCCCGTTGCGACATCTACGAATCTATATCTGCTAACTTCATATGTTCATTTCTTAAATAGGTAATCCCAACATTACCCGGCCAAGATGGCCTCCGGTGGCCACATTGATAGCGACACGTTTCGATTCCTGAAGGAAAAACGATACAGGTTCGACGACTGAAAAGAAAATAATAAACAATGATAGCAACTTAAACAAGTGTAACCCCTAATAATTAAGTTGATACACAAACACACACACACACACACACACACATATATATATATATATGTGTGTGTGTGTGTATGTGTGTGTGTTTATGTGTGTGTATGTGTGCGGGCAGTAGTTTTTCATTCATGAATTTATTGAATACCTACACTTTTTGTTATTTAAGATTTGATAATGACAAGAAATTCGAAAGTGAAAAAAAAACATTGTACAAACTCTGCCCGGAAAGCAGAAAATTGTTCCAAACGATTAAAAATAAATAAAAATCTTTATATATAATTGGACACTGAAGTATGCACCTAGTGGAAATAGTCTGTTTCATGATTGAGTGCAATCTTCAGACATGACTTGAAGATAATCTCGAATAGTGAGGACTTTTGCCCCCAAAATATAGCACACATTAATATTGTATTTTATCATAAGCAAGGATATTTTAAATGTATCGGTGAGTGAAGAAAGTAATTGAAATACACATTTTTTATACAGCTTCATATGTGCTTAAGAGGAATTTTTTCTTCCAACCGGAAAAATTAGCAATGACATTTCCGGATCAAAAGAAACCTTTTGAACCAGAAATCCGAAGTTATGAGTCATTGTATACATAATAAAAATTCCTCTTAAGCACATATGAGGCTGGATAAAAAAATATTTGTAAATTTCAATTAACTCCCCCAACGATACATTTATAATACACTTCCTTTTTTTCTCTTCCCCCTTCTTCTCCTTCCTTCTTCGCATCCTTCTCCTCCCTTTCTATCACACCCAACTTCGTGCGTTTGTTTATTTTTTTTTTAATAATATAGCGTCAATTAGTCTTTTTTAAGAATAAAGCGTTGGGAGATCAATTAATAAAAATCGCCTGAGGATACCATAAGATTGAAACCAAGGTAATGTATTCAACTGATCTCATAATTTTTAATATATATATATATATATATATATATATATATATATATATATATATATATATATGGCTTGGATTGCATCTAGCATGAAACAGACTGTCGCCTCTAAGTGTTGACTTCTATGTTCACTTTTATATTTACACACGCTCTATCTCTGATATTGAGCACTTTATCCCATAAATATAGCACATCTGAAGACTATATTTCTTCAAATATATATAAGCTTCACATTTCAATGCTATTTTCAGAAAAAATTATTAATAAGCATAATGATAATATCTTAAACAAACACTTATACCAAAACCAAAAAATTTAGACAATGGAAAAATAAAAATAAAAACTGATGAGGATAAACAAAGATTATGTAACTGCAGAAATCCTCATAACTGTCCTCTACGAAATACATGTCACACGGAATCATTACTATACCAATGTAATATTTCTTCAATTGAAAATCCTGAAAACATAAAAAAAATATATATAAGTTTCACAAGCCATGAGTTCAAAAAAAGGTTCAACCAACATCAAAGTCTATTTAGGATAAATAAATATAAAAATCAAACATCTCTCTCAAAGTATTTCTGGCACCTAAAAGAATCCAATAAAACACCTACAGTAAAATGGAAGTTAATAAGAAAAGCTAGAATATGTAGGTCATTAAATGAACCATGTCCTTCGTGCATACATGAGAAATTATATATTACAAAGTTTATAAAAAATAAAAATTTACTGAATCAGAGAAATGAAACAGCTATTTTGTGCTGTCATTGTCAAAAATTTTCCTTAAATTATATTTAAAAATAAAATTAAAAAGTGCGACCTGGTAATATACATACTTATATTACTGTACTACTGTACTACTACTGTACTGATGCGGCATTCACCCTGGGCGGATTGAGCCGGCTTCTTCCTGTTATGAGAAGAAGATTCTTGGGATAAATTACAGAAGTAGGGTACCCAGGCCTACTCGGATAACGTTCTTGCTTGCCGCGGGGTTCCCACAGACGCAGAGACAGGAACGACCAGAAGCCGCCGGTTACCGATGCAGACGCTCCTTGGATTTTCACCAGAGGCCTTGTTAGCCGGCGTGTGTGTCAGACCTGTCCGCCTTGGGTGGCCCTACCAGGAACGAAGTTCCGGGCGGCATAGCTCTGACACTACCGTTTACACCCCCACCGACTGTGAGGTAAGGGTTGGACTTTGGGGGCTTACAGGTGTTCCCAAGCGGTCCCCCATCTAAGTACTGACCTGGCTCTACGCTGCTTAACTTCGGTGATCGTAGGAGAATCGGTGTTTCAGCGTGATTTGACCGTAAGCTACATACTTATATTAGATGCGAAAAAATAATTTTATATACTGTAAGATATTTTATTACATTTAATTGTTTTTATATAAAAACAAAAATATAGTCTATTAAAATTAACAGTGAAAATATTTAAAATTGTTTTTAAAATTGTAGTTAAATTAAACGAATTCTAACCTAAACATCTTTTAAAATTTTAGTTAAATAAAACGTATTCTAACCTAAACACCTCTCTCAAAGTACTACAAGAACTTAAAAGAATCCAATAAAACACCTACAGTAAAATGAAATTAATATGAAAAGCTAGAATATGTAGGCCATTAAATGACCCATATCCTTTGTACATACATGAGAAACTATATATTACTAAGTTTATAAAAAATAAAAGTGTACTAAATCAGAGAAATGAATTAGCTATTTTTTGCCGTCATTATCATAAATTTTACTTAAATAACATTTAGATATAAAATTTTAAAAAAATTTGACCTGATAATATACATACTTATACTTGATATGAAAAAATATTTTTACATACTGTAAGTAATTCTAATGCAATTACTTGTTTTAAAAAGAAATGTAGTCTCTTAAAAATTAAAAGTGAAAATATTTTAAAATATTTAAAAATTAAAAGTGAAAATATTTTAAATAAAACGTATTCTAACCTAAACATTCCCCCAAAATCTTTAAGTATACAAATAGAAAAAATGCCGTAAGAATTTTTGCCGTTAACAATAAGATTTTATCTAAAAAAAAAAAAAAAAATCCAGACGACATGCATTTAACGGATGTCAGAATTCGTTGAAATGTACATCCCTACCCCTACCTAAACATAACCCCTTTTTCAAAAGTAACTAATAACTGATACAACAAAAGTTAAGGAAATTTCTCTGTATCCTTGGAAACTGTAAATTATGATTTTTGCCGTGCCTTTAAAACCCAGTAAATTTTAAAATAAGTTACTCCAAAATTCGCTTGAGAATGAAATGGAACTAATGACTTTAATTTAATTACAAAATTAAATTCGAAGCTTTTAGCTTCCATTTTTGAAACATGGTTAGAACTGTGTAGCGAAAAAAACATATTTTAAATCAGTTAATTTATAATATATATATATATATGAAAAAGTGTGAAATATATATATATATATATATATATATATATATATATATATATATTATTTATATATTATATATTATATGCGGTACTTATTAGAAAGCGCTCAATATCAACCCAGGGTCACAAACTCACATCAATCTAACCAAATAATATATACATACATATATATATATATATATATATATATATATATATATAGAGAGAGAGAGAGAGAGAGAGAGAGAGAGAGAGAAAGCAAGAGAGAGTAAATAAAGTGGATGCTGCAATTTTCCATTCACATTAAATGCTCCACTGATGTACCCTAACTAAGCAATAAACAAAAACATCTAGTGTAGCGCAATAAAATTAGTTTGCTTTTCTCTAGTATTCAATTATTCTGAACTTGTGACAGGTAAATTTATTAATAAAAATTCTTTATAATAATAATAATAATAATAATAATAATAAATACATAAATGAAACAAGGTTAAAATAAAAAAAATAAATAAATAATGAAATAAAATACGCAAAACACGCAGTCATAAGTGCATCTAATCTAAAACATTAGATCTGAGCAAATAACTGGAAAATATATTTTACCTTTCTGCTACTTACCAGACATAGAACCCACCCAAAGTCAACAAACTTGTACTCTGATGGCTGCTTGAGAAGTTAAAATGACAATCATCATGCAGTGTTGATTTTTTTGTCCACACTAAATAAATGAATGTATAATAATAATAATAATAATAATAATAATAAAGGATTAATTAAACAAAATTTTGCTTTCCCCAAAACAGGGATAATTTTGTATTTTCTATTGACTAACTGGGCTCGAAACTAGATTTAAAATACTGCACCTCAAATGCAAGATTTTCAATATAGACAAACACTCTGCTCGTTTAAAACTGATAATAATATTCCTACCCCCATTTCCTTTCGATTTTATTTTGCTTGGTTAAATTTAGTAAAAGTCACTCGTCACTAAAGGTTTAGCTTCATGGCTAGCATCTTATCCTAAAGGTTGCTGTTTAAGATCAAGTAAAAGCCATTACCTAGAATGTTGAGACAGAACCTTCCTAC